GCTCTGGGAGCAAAACTCCTATCACAAAGATAAAAGCTTTGCCAAAAACAAACACGCCATGGTCAAGACTGCATATAGATTTTGCAGGTCCTATGAATGGATCACATTATCTTGTGATAGTTGATAGTTTCACTAAATGGCCAGAAATTTATAAGTACAAAACTCCAACATCTTCAGTGACTGAACTGTTTGTGAGATATGGCATACTAGATACCGTAGTCTCCAATAACAGAATGTAATTCATGGGTAAACTGAAAAAAAAAAAAAACTTTTGTAAGATATTATCCATTGAACATGTTATGATCACCCATGGTCTAACAGACAAGCAGGTTTGTGGGAACATTCAAAAGAGCATTGAAGAAAATGACGTTTGTATCGCAAAACATCGTGGCAGTGAATTTCTTGTATGAACTGTTTGCGAGATATGGCATACAAGATAATATAGTCTCTGATAATAGAAGGCAATTCACAGTTAAGGAATTCGATGACTTTTGTGAAATAGTCACCATTGAAAATATTACACCCCCTGCCATATCACCTAAGGTTGAACGTACAAGTAGAACAGTTTGTATGAACATTCAAAAGAGCATTAAAGAAAACAAGTCTTCAGAATGTAAATGAGGAAACACATCAAAATTTTCTGAGAGTTTACTATGTAACACCTAACCCCAATACAACATCAAGCATGTCACCAGCAGAATTAATGTTTGCTAGAAAAGTAAAATCGGTGTTCGACAAGTTATTACCAAGTCGAAAAATAGAAACGGATAACAAAAACAACACCAAAAGTTGCAAGGTCGTGTTCTTTAGAGCATATAAGGATGGCAGAGAAACATGAGAAGATGGCATAATATCAGCAAGAATTTGGAATTTGATTTACATGGTAAAAGGGAAAAGATTTGAACATAAAAGGCTCCATAATCAGCTGAAAAATGGTTCATACCTGAAACATTGGAAGAACTGATGCAAATGCTATATGATGTTTTTGATGTGCCAGCACCACAACAAGTTGTAGAACCTGCAAGTTGTAGAAAAAAGAAAGCATACTGAGGAATTGGAAGTGGATCTGAGATGGAAAATGCTACAAAGTCAAGTACATTCGCAAAGACTCCAGAAAGAGGATGGGGAGATACTGATACTAATAAAAAATAAAATATTTATAAAAAGTATTAATCTCAAAAGGTGGGGGCGTTGTGGAGTAAATAGTATAGCCTCTGTGATGATATGAACTAGTCCATAACTCTAAATAAAGAGCTCCAGGTTACAGGTAGGAAAAAGAAGCTGTTTGGAGTCAGTCTTCAGACTAAGTAATACTGGTGTCACGGCAAGTTGCCAAAGCATTAATTATATCATAAGCACTATGAAGCATGTTCTAACAGGATTGTACATAAACATAAACAATTTCAAATAATGAAGTTTCTTTCTTTCCTGTATAACTATGCAAACAAAATACTAATTAGTCTGTAAATATGTTTTATATTTTATATAAAAAATATATCATTTTTATACTATATATGATATATTAATAATATTTCTGAGATTTTAATATTAATTATCATATTAAATATATCATGTTTTATACTATATATGATTTATTTTTTGTAATTATTTGTTTTAAATCCACATCTACTGTGATAGAGCAGCATTGAAGCCCTGATTTTTTGCTGAAACAGGATTATTGGTCTTCCCTCTATCACAGTTGTGCTTATGAGCCAGGCTTTATCATTTGTCTAAAATCATAACTGTCATTACTTTTCAAAATAAATCAAAACATTTTTTGTTGTTTTTCCCCCTAAAATATTAGCTTCCAAAACTTTTATATTGTGTTGAAATGTGTTACAAAAAAAAAAAAAAAAATTTTGTCTCTCTCCTACTGTCATATCAACGGGCACAGTCTTCACTTCTGAGACGAACTGCCCTCCTTCTCATTGTAGCCCTTTACATAGAGCTTGGTAACTTACCCATGCAAAACACCAACAAGCCAGCTACCAATCAGTTTTCACACCTGCCCACCTCCACTTGATTTGGGGGTGTCAAGTTGACCAACCAACTCATTACAAGACTTATATACAGAAAAAGTGTTTAGGTCTTATTCTATAAAATAATTATAAGCAAAACAAATTGTCAATTTAAAATCAAATTAAAACAAAAAAAATAAGTTTGCTGGGCTATATATTATTGTTTTAAATTTTATTACATGCAAATATCAGATAAAAAAATATAGAATCAAGAATCTTTAAAACTACACATTTGAATTCCCTCCTCTGCACACCACACTTCTTTTATTTCATGGTACCATCTTGTTTTCTCTTTTGCTATGGCTTCTACTGCTGTTGAAGACTTGCTATCAATTGTCTTTCTTTCCTTATTAACGACTCCCATATTGTATTTATTTCTATGCTGGGCCTACTAAGGAGATCCTCATAGCCTTGCATATACATATTCCTCAATTAATGTTTGCTCTTCAAGACTTTTAACAACTCTTAGACAGGTAGAGCTACATGGAGATTGGAAGGAACTAATTTAATTTTGCTCTCCCAACAAAGAAATCTCACATAATGACAATTATCTATACATTCAAAGTGCTTTTTTGCTGAAAACTGAGAACTAAACACTAAATTTGTCCTCTTGGCCTAAATCTATGCTTACTGAGCCAGGCTGGATCATTTGTCTAAAATCATTACTAACCTACTATTAATTTTGAAATTAAACCAGATAATTTCATTTTCCTTGTTTTTTTTTTCTTCTGAAATAATACTTTCTGAAATTTTTGTGGGAAAAGAAAGACTATTGGTCTCATTCTGGAAAATAAGTTCCAGTAAAAAGCAAAAGAAATTATGGATTTAAAATCAAAACACAAAAATGTTTACAGTAGAATAATAGATTTAAAAAATGTTCCTTTTATGAGAGGATTTCATAAAAATATAGAATCAGAAACCTTTAGATGTTAACACATTCACTGTCAACCACAAGATAACTCATAGTTGGCAGTTTTTATTATCATCTTTGTGTAGTCTTGTCATTAAGGCTACAAACCAGATTTTTTTTCACTGTTTTTAATGCAAATGACTGGTTCCTGGCATCTAAATCAGGAATGAAAAAATGTACTAGCAACTAAAATCAAATTTTTTATGGGAAACAAAGAATTTGAAAAGCAACAGAAGTGTCCAATATCCAGGTGCTTGAATGATGCTTCTTGAAAGAACACAGATGGTTGGTTTATCTTCACAAATGGTTCAAAAGTTTCTTGCCATACTCTTTTTTTTTTCCACAAACTCAGCAGGGTCCAGTTGAATGTTATTTCTTTTCAGTTGGTAGTAGAGCTTCTAAATAATACTACATGTCCCCAGTTTTGGATGTTTTGTGGCTGAGCACCAATTAAATATTATACCAAATTCTTGAGATCTTGAGATGATCAACTCATAAAAAAAGTTATTACCTAACTTGGCTATTATAAAGTTGGCCTTTGAAGTCAGATTTTGTAATTGACCTTGGAGTCAATGTATCAATATCTGATTCTTTCCCAACCCCACCTTTTTGTTTTGTCACATCCTGCTTCAAAGAAAATTTATAGTTCTATCTGTATATATAGAAATTTTTTTTAAATTGTTTTATTTTTTTCCTTATCATAGTCCCTAGCTAAGAATTTGTTGTCCCTTACTCTTAATAATTCACAAATATTAATTTTATATAATATTTTTCAATACAGCATTCAGCAATACATCAGTGAAAGTGGTAAGAAATAAATTTACTATATATTGGTTTTAGAACAAAATTTTCATAGGACAAAGGACTAGCAGGAAATTGTAATAATTTGGTGTTAAAATTGTTTTTACCCGTCTTATGCTATTCTCATGTCTATAAAAAAAATAAAAATTGTGTATAGTGTCAAAAATAATTATAATAAAATAATTATAACAATTATAATTATCATTAATTCACTCTTTCTAAACCAATAATATCAACCCTATTTTTCTACACACACCAAAATTGCATTCTCTCTATCAGACCATCAACATGTGTGTCAATGGAAATTTTGGCTCCTTTCCTTTTTTCAGGCTATAACAGTAATATTTATCTTTTAGTACTCAACAAAAATTTGAGGTAAGAAAACCCCAGACACTTCTTGTATTCTTCCAAGTAAATTATCTGGACACTCATTAGATACATCTATAAAAAAAAAAACTTATGTGAAAGACTCTATACACTTGGCTTATTTTGTATCTCATCCTTCTGTTGGATTCTGAACCATATTTGATCCACATTTGACTCCAAACTTGCAATTTTACTCAATATTACTGGTACACATGTCTCCAACACCACATAACAACCAGATAATAAATAATACTTGTTTTGTTGTTTATCATTTTTACAGGTATTTTTCTATATATAAATATCAGGTGGTTTGTAATTATATACTAAGACTTCTTACCCCCCTACAATATACTTCTACAGGAATTAACTGTGATGATTCAATAAAATGGATTTAGTGCTTCTAAAAGGAATTATTCCTGATGGTTCTTTCCAGTGGCCGTTCCATCTGTTCCACGTACTGATTAATATCTACACCCAAGAGCTCATGGTTACATCAAAGTCACAAACAAATTTGTAAATTAAAAAATCTTAATATTGATTGGGTTTGATTTAACCTGTCAGATTAAAAATTTACATGACAATCTTTGTTTATCAACAACGACAATGCTAATGACTAACTAAAAAATAACTATATAAGTAAAAAAAAAATTGTACACAGCATAGTCAAAACCGGTTCCTGGGTGTTTATGGAACTATCGAGTGGGTTGATGAAGTCAAAAGGTGGATTGTTACATAAATTGTCTTGACTTATACCAAAAGCTCCCCAATTTCCATCAATATCCTTTACTCATCAAACTCCTTCTTCCAATTAATGAGGTCAACAAATTCATTAAAAAGTTATAGGAGATTTTTAATACATTTTTTATTACCTTATTCTTCTGCTTATTATTTTAGCAAACATGCATACAGCCATATCATATTCAAATGCTGGTCCCCATATGATCACCAAAGTTAAGCAACATCGAGCCTGGTCAATACCTAGATGAGTGACTGCTCGGGAATAGTATGTGCTGTAAGCTTGAATGTGGGGGTAGTTTGGAATTGTTAAATTAGAGAGCTGAGTTCCAGATCCAGTTGGGTTCATTTTATTGACTTATACACAAATACCCTTGATAAAGATATGAATCCACCTCTTCTTCTCCCTGCTATGGGTTAATTAGTAAAACTTGTTTGACTAAATCATTATTATCAACAAAAACTGAATTTTTACAGTGAAAACTATTTCTGGCTTTAAATAACCTGCAGAGGGTTGATAAGCTGTAGAAAACACATCAGTTAATCAAGCAAACATAACTAGTTTAGGAATTGAAAAAGAAATAAGAAAAGGAATGACAAAATGTAAAGCTAATATTAATTTTTGATATTAATTAATAATTGTGAAACAATAATTAAGGAAAACAGTAAAGGGAATATTATACTTAAATAAGGAAAATAATTATTATTCATATTTTTTTGTTCATGCAAACCATTATATTCTTCACAAGGAATATTTTGCTTATTTGTTATTTTAAGAATAATATCAGAAACACATGAACTACAGCTTACAGTAAGTACCAGATAATTCAAACTAAACTTGTTTTTACTTTTAGATCATGCAATATTTATATGTAGATATACAGAAGACAATTATCTCCCTTTGCTGGAGATATGTCTCATGACTGACCACTTAGTGACATCACTCCACACAGTGATGAAAGAGGTAGTCAATTTCAGTTTGTTTACAGCAGCCAAAATGAAAGGTTGCTTTCTTTAGCCCAGCTCCCCCTTGGCCCGGGCTGAGGCCAAGTCTGCCTCTCCAGCAGCTTATATGTCCATGGTGCCAGATATAGAAAGAAACTTCAGCTTGCAGCCCTCAATTTGGGAAAACCCAAGACTCACTATTTCCCATTTGTGAAATATGTCCTTGCCTGGAACATATTAGATAAATTCAGACCATTTGAATCTGGAGTCCTAAACTTGGCTTCTCCAGACACAGGAATATCTCCATAGTATATGTAAGACCCTTACTTTTTGTTTCTCCTTACACTCTGCTTTGTCATGTAGATATATGTGATATATTATTCTCTGCATGGGCCATGTGTATGTCTTCATTGTATTGTTATGTTAACCCAATAATTGTACCCCGACTTTAGATTTTATAAGTATACTTTTAGTACATTGTGTATTTGTGATGAGACATAAGAATATTAATAACTTCTTTATTTCTTTGAATATACAGATTATGAAGTATTTTTTTTTTTTTGTACCCGGTTGAATTAGGGCCAGTTCTTGGAAGAGAACCTTCCCTTCCCCTCCCCCTATTTCCTCTCTGGACTCTGATCGCAGGCCAGATGAACGCTGTTTGTCTAATAAGTGCAGATGACCTTAGCTGTGTTCCTTGGATAACGCCTACTCACTTTCGTGGGCCAACACGTGACTTAACCCCTAACGGTTTCTTTTCACGCGTGTTGAGGCAAAACAACTTCACTTAGTTTTTTGCCATCGGAGGAAGCGGATGTCCCCAGAATTAGTCTTAGCTGTTTGCCATTGGAAGAAGTGGGTGTCACCAAACCCAGATTTTGCTGTTTGTTTTCAGAGGATTCAGACACCACCAAAGACCAAATGGACGACGAGAGAATCTTGGACAGTATCCTCAACTCAAGTCGGCTATATTCCTGTGATCTATCTGCATGTAGTTCTCACCATCAACAAGGATTGGACAGCCTTAATCAAAACTTATATTAGGACATTGGCAATTCCACCCTTTACTTTCGGAGAAGTGTATGAACATCTTTTCTATCAAACTGTATCCCTGATAATAACCGATCAACGTCAATACCGACCTTGTGTAAGTTTTTGCATGTTTACATATATTCTATAATCTGCTGTCTCTATTTTTGTATATATTTTGTTGCATTGGTATATGTTTCACTGAAAATTATCTCCCCATCCCTTGTATTATTTAGTTTTTTTTCTTTTTTGCTTAATTTCATACCTTTTATATTTTCATAAATAAAATATTTGTATTGTATAATATCATTCGTCTTCTGTTGTCCTGTGTCTGCATATTGTTTGTTTTTTCAAATTCAATTTCCGGATTTGGAAATTCCCCTATCATTTTTTTTTCTTTAATTTTACATTTTACCCTTTCAAGTTTATTTTTTTTTTTTCTTCATAAAAAATTTCCCAATGAAATTCCAAATAATGGAATAAAAAAAAAGTTATTGTTTTATGTTTTCCTTTCAGCCATTCTGTTCTGTCCAAATAAAATTGTGATGTCATGGCTGTAATAATGCCCAAACAGAAACAAAATAGGAAATTTTTCTTCCATAGCTCTCTTCCTCCTCCTATGTAAGGACCATCTGCAAACACTAAACAGAAATAAGGTGTAAATTTACTTTTTAAAAGCCAATTGAACCAGGTAATAGGCAAACCTAACTACTCCTATTAGGGAGTAGCTCTCTCCTGTTACATATAATTGGCCTAAAGTTACACTGTGTTTGCAGATGGTTTGGACAGGAAGAGTCTAGAATTTTTCTTTGATCTTTGGTTTGGGAGACTAAGCATTTTATTTGAAAACTAGCAACCTATCAACATAAAACAATGTTGCCCATTATTTGGAATGTAGAAAATTTTTTAACAAGGAGGAAAGATGTTCCTTGGAAATAAAGATTTATTCTCCTTAGACTTCCAAATAAATTTTATTTGTATTAAGAATGACTTGTAGAATATATTCTAGATAAAATGTTCCATACTCTATTGAAAAATTTTTTTTAAGCAAAAGCAGGAAATATAAGTTTCATATTTTTGAACCTAAGCAAGATTTTACATTCTGGACAGAACTATGAATGGCTTGAAATCCTCTGGTTTAATTGGTTGAAAAATATTGTTGTTTACTTATATTCTTTGAACTATTTTGTCACACTTTCTTTTCTATAAAAATAACTTTCTTTTTATTTTTGAATATTTTTAATTCACTTGGTTAGAAAACAAAAACTGATAACAAAAACCACATCACTTAACAACAATTAATATGGATATCACATGTAATTCAAAGAGAAAATAATGATATAATCAAGATTTGAAGTTCCACACTACTTTAAATAAAATGTTAAGAAGCCCCCCCTTAATACTGGGAGGGCAATAACAGCTACTGGACTTCAGAAACCTATTTTCCTGATAATTTGTTTTAAGAGAAAGATTTTATAAATTTCAGCTGACAGTAGTAATGAATGCTAAATGTTTTCTCATGAGAAAATGGCTAATATTATTTATCATATTTTGATTGATTAATCCATGTTTTCTTGTCTTTGACATTTTTGGTAGGATGCCGCTCAGTGTCATTTAGTTGTACTGAAGAGAAGTTGAACAGTTTTGGCCATTTGATTTTGGCAAGTAGAAATATGCACTTCTGGCCTTTATATCCTAATATTCTCTTGATGTTAAAGACATTTTTTTTTTTGGTATTAAGTAAAATAACTCCAGCTGCTAAGCATGGGAGTGTTCTTTGGTTGTCCCCCCTCACTTTTCTAGTTCCTTTGCAGCTTTATTTTTTCATTCTTTTTCCTCCTGACGTTCAATAACATTCCATATTTTGCAATTCTCCAAGTTTCATTTTACTTTAAGCTGAGGCCACACAACTTTGATAAGAAAAAAAATAAGAAAAAATAAATCTTTTTTTTTTTTTTTTTTTTTAAAGAAAAAACAGATTTATTTCAGGTTAGGAATGCGGTAAGTTTGAATGTTTATAAGTAACTAGCAGTAGAGCCCGGCGTTGCCCGGGGATGTAACAGTAAGAGATAGATCAAGTATCAACTATCATAAAGACTGAAAAATAAAATTGACAAAGATTATTGTTTAAGGTTGACGGACACGCATGTCTTAATTAGTTTTTTTTTTTTTTTTTACGAATTGGTCAAACCCAAACTCAAACAAAAACATTGTTTACAATCGTTATGAGTCTATCGATTGGTGAATAGAATTTTATTGTAAACAATTGTCTTGTAAATGGAATTTTTAAAGCATTCTGAATGTAAATAAAGAAAAAAGTGTGCAAGACAATAAGAAATACTACCTGCCAAAAAAAAAAGTGGATGTTTGTTTTATCGGCTGAAAAATGTAAGAAATCCAATCCCATATATAAAGGAACACACACACACACACACACACAACCTGGGTTTTTTAACCTAAGTCACTCCACGGAATCGCTAAAACATAGAGCATAGTCTGATGAAAAAGACTCTAAAGTTTATGAAAACAAAATTTTATCGTCAAAATGCTTACGTTTTTATGAAGAGGATAGACAAAAATTTTTTTAATTATTTTAAAAAATTTTTCCATCTTTTAGAATATTCTAAATTTTGATTTAAAAACCTTGTTTCTCTTTGTCGCAACAAGGGGTAGTAAATAACATAGATAATTTTTAGCGCGTTTTTTGTATTTACACATTAATTTGGAAAATCTTGCAAAAATAAAAATAATTGTCAGATGTTAATGAAACTTTCAGAAACTATTCACAGATGATCGAAATTATTATAAATATTTTTTTTTTATTAAAGTCATGGCAGAAATATTTTTTTATATTTATTAACACCCCCATAACTAATTTTATGAAAAACTCTAGAAATTCGAGACCATCGGTTTTAGTGATTACAATAGTTAAAAAGCACAAGGCTTTGAAGAATGCAAATCATGTATTTTTTTTTTTTTTTTGGCCAACGTACCTGAAAATCAGCTGTGAATTGTAACATACAAAATTCAATAAAACAAATATATTATTTAGTTTCAAATGCTTTTATTTGTTTTAATTTGTTTTTATGAATATGGACAATATTTTCTGGAAGCAAAAATTTTTGAATTTTTAATACAATTATTTCTTATTTCTTTAATTTTAAAAAGATTTTTAAAAATGTTTTAAATTGAATTTTAAAAAATATTTTAACATTAGTTAAATGCAACATCAACCTTTCAAAATGTCCGTGTGAGATTGTCATTGTCTAGCGCTTTGAAAATTGTATAATTTGGACCAATCAGATTAG